CAGGAATTTGGCAACGCTTTCCTCTGAGCTCTGCTGTCGGGAGCCCTTGTCCCAGCTGTGTGGCGGTGCCTGGAGCACTCTCACTTGGACATGGTCCTCTGCCATCTTCAAGCAATGGGGAAGCTCCTTTTTCTTTACTGTGTTCCCTGTGATGTTTTGAGAGGCATTTTATTACATTAGCAAAATGCAACGTACGTTGTTTGAAAATGGGGAAGAGAACTCCGCAGCTCCGCAGAGCATGGGGAGGGTCAGCTGGTTTGTGCCTGCGCCTGCTCCTGTCTGGGGGGGTGGCGAATTCTCACGCGCCATGTGCGAGGGAGGAAGGGATGGAGGAAAAGCCCCATCTGGTTTTGTTCTGGTCCCTTCTCAGAGAAAAGGCTAACGCCGTCCCGTGTCGCTAACCACACGTTGTCTGCTGGATGCTTCTAGGCAGCAGCTGTTCCAGCTGGTCCTGGATACTCCGCTGGTTGCATCTGCGCTGGCCTGCAGCAGGCATGTGGCAGGCAGAAGCCACGCTAGGAGTCCTGTTTCTTGGCCGGCTGTAAAAGAGGAGGTGCTGGCGATCGACACTTTCTTGAAAAAGGAAAAAGACTGCACCCCAATGAGCCTGGCGGGAGCAGAGCAGATTGACAAAACTGAGGAAAACCACGACCTGCGCAGCAGCTCTGCAGGGGCTGATGGTACAGACAATCAAGTGCGATCACAGGAGAGTCTCGAGTGCACCCAAAGCCCTGAAAAGCCTTCTACGTCTGTGGTAAAAGTCGTCAAGAAAGGTGAGAGGCTTCGTTTTTGCTTTTGTCCTGCCCTGTTCCCAAAGTCTGGTTGTGTCAAAGCACTGGAGTGTCCCCGGGACGTGGCATCACCTCATCTGCCTGCATTGGCCCGTCCAGACGCTGCCCGTGCTGGACGGGGCTGTGCGCGTTGTTCAGGTGGGTGCTGACGGGCACGGCTCTGCTGCAGGGGTGTCCTCGGTGAGGATCTGGGCTGAGGCCAGGGGGTTCAGTGCTGTTCAGCGCCTGCGGATTCCTTGGCTTTGAGTAACCACGCTAAAGGCAATAGTTGCACTCCAGACTTACTCAGTAGAAAATGAAGTAATTTTCTCCTTCTCCTTGGTGACTAGACAGACAGCATCGATACTTATCCTGCTCTCGTATCCTTCAGGAATCAGAGGCAAGGTGTTTTATGTTGTTTGTTATTTGAGGGGGGCACCCCCAATCAGAATGATAATGGGTTCAGTTTTGTTAATATCCTCGTTCATACATTCTCCAGAAGAAAGTAATCCGCTTTATTCGTCTGTGATTCTGCAGTGTTAAGATTAATGTGTTCTGAAGCGTGAAAATACCCATTCACCCATTTATCCAATACACGGATCAACTATAATAAAAACACAGTATCCTCTTAGTTCTGACATGATAGCAGCACAGCCATCCTGTTGGCCCAATTAAAAGCCTAAATTAAAATAAAAGACCATGTAGGACTACACCACTGATTTTTTTCTTAGTTAATATTTATCTGTTCTTTTGCTTAACAGTTTATTCAGCTGGAACTCTGAAGTTCATATTTATTCATTAGCTGGGTAAATACTGCCTAAAGATGTAATATGGCCAGGAAAGCAGCCATATGAAAATGGCATCAACTTACCCAGAAGTTATGTCTTCTAGTTTTATGCATCAGACTTGCTCGTGTTAGCAATTTAAAACTCATATATGAAATTTTACTGCTCATTTATTCTTCAGCAGTTGAAATTTTCACTTGCTTACCATTTTACGACCTTATTAAATCCTCAGATATGCATTACATGGAAATTATTTCCACAAATGCAAAGTAGTTGGTCAGACAGTATCAATGAAAGACTTGAGCCGATGCGGAAGTGCTTTATTAAGTATTATTTGTTGCTGTGCTAAGAATGGAATTGTTAACTTGATCCAGTAACAGGCTGCTCAGGACTGCTGTGTTGTGTTACTGCCACAAGTTTTGGGTTTTTCCCTAACCTCTGACTAGAATATGAGCTCATGGGAGTCAGGAATGGCCAAGCCTTTACCAGATAACTCCCAGTTCCCACACTGTTTCTCAGCGCTGTTCATAGGTGGTTTTTGTTTTGTCTCTGAAACCAAACCCAGCTTCCTTCATGCTAAAACAGCGGACGTCGGTTAGAGGATCTTCCTCCTGCTGTTCGGTTACACTCAGCCTTTTGGTCTTGACACAAGGTGTTGCTAAAGACAAATATTTTAAGTCTGCAGTTTGTGAAGTGTCTTTACAGGTAATGTTTATAGGTGCTTCGTGACAACACGGTGCAAGAGGAGTTGTGCCTTGGGGGGCTGTGCTCTGTGCTGGTGTGTGTCTGTGAGCTCTGAGCCCCAGGTACAACGTGTAGGTATCTGCAATGGGTGTGGGGTATGGCGGGACCCTGAGTTAACCCGCGCCCATAAACTTGCTTATGTTTATGTTAGCCCCTAAGTGTGCTGTTGTAGATTTTGATCAGAGATTTCATCCCATCTGACTGCAGGGAAATGAGAGCCATTCTGCTGTTAGACAGAGAGGGAAATAAGTGTTCTGGAATGAAAATGAGCAAAAGACGAAGACTTTGGATGGACGTGCCAGATCTTTTAAAATAGAAATCTGGAATTCTGGATTTCTATTTTCTGCAGTCAGGACTTAGTTTTTCAGGTGAAAACATCTGCTCTTTGCTTGATGACCCGCTAGTAAATTCCTTCTCCCTTGCTTTCAGTGGAGTGTCCTGTTTGCGATGTTGCCATCCCAGAGCAGTACATAAACAAACACCTGGACAGCTGCTTGACAAGGGACGAGAAGAGGGACAGCCTCAGGAGGTAAGAGACAGCTTTAAGAGCTTTTATGTTCATGTAGCCAGTTTTCTGCAGTGCTGAAATCAGAAATACTGGCTGGAGGGTTATAATGCAGTGGATTGTGTTTGCTTCTTGGTCACCTGCTGCACAGATTGCTCTGAAGTCACTGTACAAATGCGATGGTGGTGACTTTCCCCCTCGGGAAAGTATGTGGGTCACCTACAGAATTAAGTTTTGGCTTTTAGTGGCAAGAAAGGAGTTCGACACAGAGTGAAACTGAGCCTGTACATTATTCTCATCACATTTCTGCTCCCTAGCATTAGCATTCTATTCAGATAACACTTATTCCCATTTTTTCACTTAGCAAATGAATTGCTTCCCCTGATTCAAGTGGGCCAGAGGAAAATTGCTTCACTGGCTGTCAAGTTAGAAAATACAAATTGCGCCGTACTCTGCTCACTGAGATTCTTTTCAGGATGCCCCGGTCAAGGTTGTTTCTTCAGGATCTCCATTTCCATAAGATGAATGCATGCCTCAGACTTTCTGCCTCCGCCCCAGGATTTGTCACGGTCACCAAGTTCACATCAGAAGCGTGGATTTCAGTTTATTTTACTTCCTAGCATAAATTTAGGCCGTTGTTATTTCTAACCGATCAGACTTCAGAACTATGTGGGACTTCTGCTGCGGGTGGTTTGACTGCATGCTCCCGTTTCCAATTCCTCTGAACATTCAATGAGAAAGTAATTTTATGTAAAGCCCTTATTTTGCCCACTCGTGCTTAGAATGCCCTCTGTAAGCTAAAGGACTTTGAAGATGAATAAATGGTAAATTAGTATTGAAATCTGATGTTCCATTTTCGTTTGGGATGTTTTTGGTGTTTTCTCTGTTCTTAATGAATGGAAATGGACGCCAGATCTTTCTTTGGTGTCAAGCCTGCACCCCTAACGAATTTTAAACTTCACTCATTTTACCTGGGTTGCTTGGATCTTTAAGTGTGATGTGAGATCCTTCTTGAAGAGTGGCTGTTGTGTGTTAGACGCTGCCTTTTTGGCAGTGTATTTGTTTTATGGCAGCGTTGTTTGGATTGCAGTAACAGCGCATCTCTGGCTCTCCTCTGAGGAATTTTAGCTGTTTATTCTCAAATCAGGAGCCCCTGGCACGCTATGGTAGCTGTCGGGCAGTATTTAAGTAGAACTGATAATTTAGTCCCCAGAACCTGCCCAGGAGCAATTACAACAGGTACGGGTGTGGGAAAAGTGCTCTGGCTCCTTCGAGCTGTTGCTGCTGTCTGTGATGCAGCGTGAGATGGGTTGTGTCTGTCGGGGCTGAAATGGTTCTTTCGGGCGTTGCTTACCCAGAGTGCGTGAAATGCCCTGTAAAAATGCAAGTCAGTATTCTGATTCTTACCAGGTGTATTAATTAAATCGAGTTTGTTTCCTTTTCCTGCTGCAGTTCTGCTCAGAAGAGGAAGCCTATGTCTAAAGTGGTTTACAACTTGCTCTCGGATCGTGATTTGAAGAAGAAACTGAAGGAACATGGTCTGTCGACCTGCGGAACGCGGCAGCAGCTCATTAAAAGACACCAGGAATTTGTGCACATGTATAATGCTCAGTGTGATTCTCTAAATCCCAAATCAGGTAAGTCAGAAGTTCCAGGAAAGCTGTTACCATTGCAGCTGTTTGTATGCATTGCTCCTTGTCTCGGGGTAGGAGTAAGGCTGGTCTGAGTGCTTGGGAAAGCCGGGGCTGGAAGAATTTTTCTTACGTAATTCAAGATCAATGCAAAAAAAAGAAATTTAATGAAAACCAGAGATGTGTTGCTGTGCTCTGGAAGTGCCCAGCAAGGATGTAAATTTGTGTTGAAATTCTTTGGTACTTCCTGGTTTACTGACCCTGTTCTGAAAAATGTTCTGTGTTTTGATTGACTTTGCGTTTTAATGAGGGCCTCCAAATTAAGACTCCAAGGCTTTTAGTCAAAAAACTGGAAGTACCTCATATGCTGAGTAAGTGAATGGATTGTTAATTTAGCTTTTGTTCTCTAATGTGAGTGCAATATCAATTCCTTTCAACAGCAGTCCCTGGTTTGCATATGCTCAGGCCCAGTGCTTGAAGAACGCCAGGGCTGGAGCAGGGCGGGTGAGATCCGAGCAGGGCGTTTGGGCTGCCTGGTTTTGTAGGCAGTGTGGCCACGTTTTAAAATCTGAATAGCATCCGTGGGCTAGAAGGAGAACGGTCTTGTTATATTCTGTTTTACACAAGATGAAAACGTGCATCTTATTTCAAGATGCGTCATTTGTCATCTCTCAGTTCAGCTCTGCAAATGATACATGCACAGCACAAACACTGGTGTGTGTGGGTGTGAGAGCAACGTCAGATTTATAGTCATGTTATTTTTCTATTTGATAAAACGCTTATGGCAAACAGACCTTTTAGAGGCATTTCCAACAGGATCACGTTCTGGTATTGCTCTCCTGGGAGCTGCACACCCTCAGTGTCCTGGACATTCTCACATTGCTGCTCTTGCCTGTTGTGCCCTGGTTTTGGGATGCAGCTGCTGGCTGCCAGCTCTGCAGCGTGGCTGGGTCCTGCTGCGGCAGAGCTGCACACAGGTACCTCACAGGTAGAAACATCAGCAATATGTATTCAAAACAGTGTGACCAGCAGGTCCAAGGAGGTGATCATCCCCCTGTACTCGGCACTGGTGAGGCCGCACCTCGAGTGCTGTGTTCAGTTCTAGGCCCCTCACTAGAAGAAGGATGTTGAGATTCTGGAGCGTGTCCAGAGAAGAGCCACAAGGATGGGGAGGGCTCTGGAGAACAAGCCTGATGAGGAGCGGCTGAGGGAACTGGGCTTGTTTAGCCTGGAGAAGAGAAGGCTGAGGGGAGACCTCATCACCACCTCCAACTGCCTCAAGGGAGCTTGGAGAGAGGTGGGTGCTGGTCTCTTCTCCCAGGTGATGGGGATAGAACAAGGGGAAACGGCACCAAGCTGTGCCAAGGGAGGTTCAGGTCAGAGATAAGGAGGAAGTTCTTTACTGAGAGGGTCGTCAGAAGCTGGAACAGGCTGCCCAGGGAGGTGGTGGAGTCACCATCCCTGGATGTGTTTAAAGAGCGGGTAGATGAGGTACTTAGGGATATGGTTTAGGGGGTAGACAGGAACGGTTGGACGTGATGATCTCAGAGGGCTTTTCCAGCCGAGCGATTCTGTGATTCTGTGAATATTCCTCACCCTCAGTTTGATCTCTTTCGTTTTCGTGTTTACAGCGAGACTTAAAGCCTTAACACAGAGCTGAGATTGTGTTTGGCTTGGGCAACGCTGGTGACGAGGCAGCACCAGGTCCCTGTGTTGTTTGTCCCAGCCAGCTAATGAGGAGTTTCACGGTGTTCAGTGCACTTCAGCCAGTCTGCCCCAAACAATGCAAAACTGCGATGGAGGTCTGGCTCGATGCCTGTTTGTGAAGGGTGAATTATTAAACTCGCATTTAAGATGCAGTCGTGCATTGTCCGTGGCAGCAGTGAACCGAAGGTCACTGTGTAACACCAGCAGCTGAGCTGCTGAGGAAGCGCAGGCACCAGATCCCTGGATTTTGCTTAAACCGGTTTCAAACAGGTTTTATTCCTTCACAGTTAATAAGCTTTATTTCCTTGGCTCCTTTACCGTCTAGTGGAAGTGTTTGTTTTAATAAATAGCCGTAGCTGCCCAGTAGCTCTGTGAAAATGATTAAGTGTAGAAACAGATGTGTAAAAGTAAATGTCTGAATGACCCACGCAGGGTCCTGCATAGCTGCACTTTCAGTTAAAATGTTAACACACGGCTATGTCTGTTTGTGTGCTTCTGAGGTGTCTGACTTAACTGTCAGAGTAGGCTGTAATTCATCTGCGGGCCATGGGTTTTGGACAGGCGCCTGCAGACAGCTCTGTGTTGCCTGGGAAGGTAGGGAAAAGTGGGATAAACAGTACTTGGCACTGTTTTGCCTTCCGTTGAATGATACGCTATACACTGCAAACTCTTTCTATAAAAGACGTGCCTGTGTGCCACAGAAATGCTGCAGTGTGCAAGAATAAGAGTCAAGTACAGTTTGAAGAGACTGCGTTTTCCCATGAATTTAATACAAAGGAAATGAGAGCAGCGGCTCTGGAGGTGGCTGGGAGCCAGGGACCAGCACACGCCGTGGCTTGCTGCGGGCTCCCGGCCTCGCCACCGGGTCCCTAAACTTGGGCTCTGCCTCTCCGTTAGCAAACCCCCACCAGGCACTGGTGTCAAACCAGCACCGGTGTCAGACTTCTCCGTTTGGGTTTGCCTGTGACCGGAGCCTGAATTTGTCTCTCTGTGATTTAAATGCGTGGTTCATTCAGTGCTGTTACATCTTTTTCTTTAACAGCTCCTGTTTTAGTGATCCTTTTCTTGTGTTTTCAAACAGTTGCAGAGGTTGTTAAAGAGCTGGAAAAGAATGAGAAGATTCGGGTTCAACTTGAATCTAAAAGAACTGGTGAAAATGTAAGCTAATTGTTTTTGCTCTGAAAGGCAGGGGGGTGGCTAGGAGAAATTGCAGAGTGGGCACTGAACGCGTTTTCCTGACACTTTGCTATGGAAATTCCTGGATTCCCAGGTTGCATGTTGGAAATCACGCATAACATCTTACAATCAACACGATTTTCTCATACCACTCATCTGTCATGGGCAGTTCTTTTCGTACTGGTGATGTTCTATGTCCAAACTATCTAAAAATTCTTGAGAAATGTTCCCCTTGGCCATGTTGGAGGATTTTGACCTCTACGGCAGTGTGGGGAGTATTTTTCTTCCTGGAATTCTCTGGGATTTATCCGGCAAATTCCTTGTCTCCCTGTCAGCAGGAGCGCCTGCTCTTTTCCCATGACATACGATGCTTTGGTGACTTTTGGAGCATGTTTGTAGCACGGTTTTAGGAAGTATGTTATGGTCCACACGTGCTGGGTGTTGCATGGGGTGGCTTGGCTTAGTCCTGTTGGCTTTGTGAAAGGAAACGAAGACAGCGTGTGTGTGTACATTAAATACATCTTGCTGTCTGCAGCTGAGCGGGTAAGAGCTGGTGAGGACAAACAGACAACTGGTCCTTCTGCCAGTTTGGAGTCTCTGGTTTTCAAGTGTGTGGCTTTATCTTCTTCTCTCTGTAAATAAGTGTTTGTGTGATTCCCTAGAGCTTGACCTTCACAAAGGACCAGACAGAGGAAGAAATAGATGAGATCCACGCTAATTACCGTAAGTAATTCGCAAGTTTCACTTCGTTTTGCTTTGAAATGGACCTTCTTTTCCTTTCTACTGAAATACACACACTAAAGGGATGCTTTTCATGTCTATGTGCTTTCCCCCAGCCCCATGCAATAAATCCAAGCTGGAAGTTCTTTCTAGGCTGAAACTCTCCCTTTGAGACGTGGTCTCCGTTAAGTGCCGATGTCTGACAAAGCCCCATGTTGGGGCTGGGTGAGGGGCAGATGGCAGCTGCTCGCCCGCGCAGCGCAGCTCCATTGCTGCCTTCCTGCTCCTCTCCCTCAGGGTCCTCCTGTGTTTGTGGACACGAGCAGCCAAGTGGAGTTTTCCCTCTGCTGCCCTGGGTGTGAGGTGCGTTGTTGTGTGGTACCACCAGCACACCCCTCGCGCTGCTGGGATCGGTCCCGCTCGGCACGAGCCCCCTGTGCGGTTCTTGTGGTGCGGGTTTTGAAGGACAGCAGAGCAGCTGTGCCTGCGGTGAACGCTGATCGTGCTTTGCTTGTGAGATTTCACCCTTCCCTGTCCCAGATCCTTTGCCTCTTGATCTGAGAATAATTGGAATGACTCAAAGAGGTTCCTGAAAATTGGGTAAGTAATCAGCCAGCTGTATGCTTGGTTAAAACATGGCCTTGCAGCACACTGGTCTGTCTGCAGGCTCTGCTGAGGAGTGCTGGGCTGGCAGGGGGCTGGATGCTGGCCCTGCACTCTCCAGTATACCCAGTAACACAGGTACCGCGTTTGCCTGTTCCTCCACATGTTCCCTCCTCCCCTGCACTCTTAATGATCGGACATTGGCTTTATGTAAAAAGTATTTATTTATGGTTTGTTTGGAAGCAAACGTTCTTATGAGAGTTGAAGATTGCGGGACTTGCATCCTGTTGGGAGTAATTTAGTACAGAAATGGCTCCGTTAAATGGACTTTTACAGATGATTTCCTGACCTTTCTTTGTGTTTTAAATAGCATTACTTTGCACTTAGCTCCTGACTGGTGTTTTATTAGTCACAGTTTTTTTCTGTTGTTTCCCACTCATTTCACTTCGCCTGCGCCCTGCTTGCACCCTCGGACACGGTGGTTAGCCCTGTCACACTAAAACAACTCGGTGAACACTGAACTTCTCTGCTTTCAGCCACAGAGGAGCAGAGCAATGAAGGGACAACTTGTTCTGGTTATACTTAAGGGTGTATTTAAATCTGTATTGCTTCAGGCTTATAAATTACACCATAATGCAGCTAGATTTAGCCTTGTTGATTTTAGTTGGGTTTCTCTGAAGGCTAAATAAGGGCCTAAATCTTTAGCAAAGTTTTCCCTTGCTTTTTGTTGCTGTTCCTATGAATATGTTTTTTGAAGTGTACGTGCACTGGTTGTGGTTTTGGCTCTTGAGCGTTCTCCTCCAGTCCCAAGTAACTGGTTAATAATCACTCTCTTGCCATGCAGAAACCTCTAGCAATACAGCATGGGGGGAAATGGGCAGGGACTGGTGGGGCTGGGCCTTCCTACGGCTTTCTTCATCTGCTGTATGCGTTTTGGAACAAGGAGATACTGAATGCCGTCTTAATTTTCCAAAACCAGGTATTTTATTGAGTTTATATCGTAAAAAGGATATGGTTTCAACATTACCAAGCTTACCAAGTGAATAAATTAGCGTCAGGCAGCTTAATTGAACATGTAAAAGTCAATTAAAGGAAAAAAGAGGGGGGGAGGGAATAAAAGAGAAGATAGAAAAATATTATAATAGGAACATAATGGTTTTGAAATTAATAAAAAGTGATGACCAAAGAGGTAAATGTTAAGTAGTGTCAGCAAATTAATTCTCATAAAGGCAATAGGGAGGAAGTCATAAGCATGAAAAAAGAATTGTACATTAAAATTAGAGGACAGTTAGAGATCAAAAGAAATTTTATCAGATGCCTTTTTTCCACTGTAGCAGCACAGATGGACTTAAAGAGCTCAATTATACAATAAAGGTGGTTTGGTTTTTTTCTTTTCATTTACAACACTTGCACCCTAGGTCCCTCATTCACAGCTGAACGAATGAGTTAATTAACTCTGAATAAAAACCCAGCCGTGTACTTCTTGTTCCGTGTTTCACACTGGCAGGGGGGCCAGGCCCTGGCACAGGCGGCCTGGAGAGGGGGTGGCCGCCCCAAGCAGCGTTTGAGGCGCTGGGACAAGGTCCTTACCATCCCTGGACCTTTGGGCAGCGGCTGGGCTGCGTGCTCCTCGCTGGTCCCTTGCAACTCGGATAAGCTGTTTTGTGCTGCGTTACTCTTGTAAGCACACAGCACAGTGGAGCTGTGTCACAGCCTTGTGACGAGCAGAGTGAGGCAGCTGCGATAAAACCCCCCTTTTTTCTTCTGTCCTTTCCAGTTTCCCAGGCTCTTGGCAAATTGCAAATTACATTGTTGGTATTTTTGGTTTTTTTGCTTTTTTTTTTCCCTGTGTGACGTGTTTTTGAAATACCAATTAATATTTTGGCTTGATGAGCCCGAGGATGGTTCATGTGCTGGCTGGAAGCTGCTCAAGCAAACATGCAGGGTGTGTGTCTTGAGGTGCCCTTAAACACGATCTCTCTGCTCCGTGGGAGCTCGGAGGCTCCCTCAAACCGGTGTCAGCCTCATCTGCTTTCTTCACAGTCAGGCCTCTGAAGAGTTAAAAAACCTACAGGAAAGAAATACATTTGGTCAAAAAAACTGTATGATGTTGTTTTCTCTGCTTCTAAATCTTTAATTCGCAACGTGATTCAGAGCCTCGCTGATTTATGTTTTGTGTTTTAAGCATTTGTAATTACATCTGCAGTTGTTTTATTATTGAGATGCCTTTAGTTTTATGAAATGTGCGTGCTATGCTGTTTCTGCGCAGCAGTGATTTACGGTGTATCTGAACAGTGCCTTTCTCTGCCAGGACATTTCTTTTTAACTTGGAAAGCCTTGTAGTTACACCATAAAACAAAACAACAAGAAGCAGGAACGCTGGAAAAACCGAAGCGGCAGAGGAGTTGGGTAGTGAACGTGATGGCTCAGACACGGGCACGTGGGACGAGAACTTTCTTTTCGTTAAAAGCTGTTGACCTTGTGTGGTGTTTCCAGCCACGCAGGGCGAGAGCGTTGGTGTTAGATCTGTTTCCTTCTGCGGAGCAGAGCTCAGTGTGATTTGATTTTGGCTTTCCCCCTGCTCTCACTGCAGCAGGACACGGGTCTGGGTTGGATCATTTATACCCAGCACAGCACCCCAGGGCTGTCTGCTCCTGGGGGTGCTGGGCCCTGTTGAGAGGGGGACAAGGAGAGGTGGTGCTGTGAGGAGACCCCTGTGGTGGCTGAGGAGGGGTCAGGGCTGCTCGCCGGGGAAGCCAGGCCCCGTTGCCCAGGGAGGGTGAGGAGATGGAGAACCAATCGGGCTGAAGGTTTTAGCTGAAGTACTTTCTTTTTCTCGAAAGGACAGATCTTTTTCTCAAAACGACAATTTATTGGAAGCCCTTCCAAATGAAGGGGACCCCTGTTTGCTGTAACCCATCGGTGTGATGCTGCGTGGGCTGGGCTTCGTGCGGTGCTGGCCATGGGCAGCCACCCTCATGGACGTTTTCCATGGACGCTGGGGCCTTCTGTGGGGCAGAGCCGGGTGCCCCTGGTGCCCAGTGAGGGTCGGGAAATGGCAGCATCCGCCTGAGGAGAGCAGGTGTCTCCCGGCCTCCAGCAAAAGCTCTGAAGTCTCCAGATTGGAATTAAATCTAGATTAAAAACAACACTGCTTTGACTGGACACCGGACGATGGCTTCAAACACTCTGAGTGATGGAAGGTGCAAAGGGTGTGCCAAGGAGCAATTAACTGTGGTTAGAAGATCTCTGTCAAAACAGTGTAATGATCGTGGCACAAAGCTTTTGACGATGCTTTACTGCAGGAATGGGGGAAACCCAAAGCTACTTTAAATGCCCACGGTATTAAGTGTTGTACCAGTGGTAGCTGCAGTGCTTAACAAGCTTAGGAAGCAAAGAAGACAGATAATATAAAGAAGAAACACAGTTCTGTGCCACAATTAAATTTTCATCTGTGCGAGTGTTCCTGACCACTGGGTAACTCTGTAAAAGTGCAGACACAGGTTTGGATCCTCCACAGGACATGGAACAGATTGCGAGGACGAGCTGGCGTTCATTGCTGTCACAAAAATGGTTTTAATTTGGTATTTTGTGTCTAGTTCTGCTCACGTCTTTTTGACTCTTGTGGTGTGCCCTAGGAGTGCTGTGGCAGTGATCAGTAACGCGCTGTTCCGTTGCAGGGAGCAAACACAGAAGCGAGTTTCAGTTTTTGGTGGATCAAGTAAATAACCGGTGGACGAAGAGTGGCAAGAGGAAAACAGAAAGTGATCAAAACAAGGGAGCCATCGCTGTCGAGGAACTGCCGGCGGCCCCAGGTCAGTAATGGTGATTAATGCAGTCCCTCTTTGATCACACTAAGAGTTAATTAATTCTGTAATAAATGAGGGGTTTCCTGCAGAAATGTTCTTTCCTCTGTGGTTCTCCCACAGTCCTTGAGGGAGCAAAAAGGCATAAAAATCAAACAGACCTTAATGAGATGGGCTGCCATTGATTTTAGGGTAATGCATAAGCACAACCCATAATAAATACATGATTTGTTTGATCTTAATGGGATTGTGTACAGATGTGCTTTATTGAAGCGTGTATTTTAATGAGGTGTTGAGATGGGGTCTTGGGTTCTGATCCGAATCCACTGAAGTCGCAGTGAGTGGGTGGGTGACAATCTGACCATGGGTGCTGCTTGCTGGGTTTCAGCTTTTCTGCGTCATTAATACAACGGGGAGTCGGTAACTGGGAACTGCGGAGATATTTGTGTGGATCGGAACAAGTATTTGTCCTCATGTGGAAGCAGTAAAATATTTTTGGCTTCTTTTAAACTGTTTGTGTACTTGAACACAGTGAAGAGTTTATGTGCTTCGACACAGCAACAACCGCAGTAACTCAGCTCCTTGAGCTGTGTGTGCTTTGTTCTCGCTGCCCCCAGCAGTGCAGAAGCACCCACCAGTGCTGTTACCGTCCTTCCCGCGGGCTTCCCCAGTCCCGTTTGCTCTGTGCTACTGTGGCAGCGTACGTAGAGCTGTGTGTGATCTAGAGCATTCCTCAACCTGCTGTGACTTGTGAAGTTGCAATCTGTTCAGGAGACTGAATTCTGGAGAGAATCCCATTGCCCACAGGTGGATGTGCTGTTGGGAAGATCTGGCAGTTTGGTTTGCATCAGCTCTCCCAAATCCCCGCTCTCTGGAGCTGAGCTGCATCAATCTGTGGTGTCTCCTGCGCTGATTCCTCTCACAGAGCTCTCAAGAATAAAAATAAATGAAAATAACAATGTAACTATGAATGTTGTCCTTATCATTTCATGCAGACCTTGATGCAACGCATAATCCCTTCCATGTGAAGGGTAAAAATTAGGGAATCGCAAGGATAAAGTTTACCATGTTTGACGTAACTTACAGTGATGTTCTCTCCTACAGCAGAGGCACAAGCAGTGTGCTACCAGATAATGGGATCACAGACTTTGAAACAGTAATTCCTAGCCGTGCTCTGTGGAGCCATCGGCTTCTGTGAATTATTGGGTTTCTGTCTCCTGTGCACCGAACAGCAGAGTTTGGGAAGCTGGAGTGAACCTGTGCAGTTTTTCCAGAAGAGTGCTCAGACAGAAAGTGACTGCTGTGAGGTGTATCAGCCTGTGTCGTGTCGCACAGCATCACCTCGTCTGGGTGGGCAGACCTGCAGAACATTCACTACACTCTGTGCGCGCTGCGCTTCCAGCAAGCTCTGAAATTTCAGTTTCTGATTTTATGCCAAACATCTGGACCTGGTTGACTGCTTGCGAACCATCTAAAGAAACAAACCAAACCAAAGTGATTTACAGGTGAAGGAACCAATGCCTAAAGCCTGTTTCCTTAGTGTGCCTTATTAACAGCAATTACCTTTTTATCTAACTGGAAATTACAATCTGTGGAAGGAAGAAAGCCTGCAGTGTGTCATAACTTGCCATTTAAAGCGTGACTGCTGAAAGAGCAAAGGCTGTGGACGCATTCCCTACCCGCTTTATTTGCGTTCCCATGGGAGTATTAGAATTGTACAGAATTAAAACATACTTTCTAAAACAGAAAAACAAAATACCCCTTAATTTCTTCCATTGTCCTGTATCGTAGTATTGTCTGGTGCAATGTAAACGTCTGGAAAATCTCTCTCTATTTTTGGTGATGCTTTAATCATCTGTTCCTGATTCACATCATCTTCTTCTGAATCTTTAAACTTCAAATACTCAGTTTTTACTCTTTCTGTTTCCTAACTTTTAAATCATAGGGTTTTGCTTTGCCTATCAGGAATCTGGTAAATATTTGTGATACACCTCGTCGGGGACACATGATTGCACAGGGCTCTGGCTATTTTTACCCAGTTAATTGCAGAGTTCTGTTTCATTAGTTGGACAACTGAGTCACCCTAACCTGCGGTTGTTTGCAACAGCCAAAAATGAGCTCCCGATATTTAATTACACCCTTTACTGAAAGGGAAAGGGCAAACTGTAGCCGAATTCAAAGCCTGTGTAGCTCTTCCCCACTCTAATTACGGGGCTGTCTGGGCATTTCTGTCCAAGTCACTTCTGGCCAGAAGTGGTGTGAGCAGGGTGGACAGGGCACTGCTGCGATCAGGGTTGTTAGAGGTGAGTCTGTGTGGTTTAGTGTCCTGTGAAGCTTTCTGGTAAAATAACTCGCTGGAAAATATTTCTGTGTATGGCACAGAGTGGTTCATCTTTACCTACCGTACTTTCTACTCTGCATTTGCTTTCTCTTTGGAAAGGTGGAAGGCATCTTTTCAGAGAACTGCTCGTCTTTTTGTAGCTAGAAACACTTGACACAAAATAACGGAATGGCTTTACAGTTTGTGCCTGACGTGTGTTGTCTAGAGATTGCTTTTCCTGTTAAAAAATGGGAATGTCAGTTATCTGGACTGACGTCTTTCTTAGATGCATAAGGAGATAAATCGTAATGCTTCTCTTACTGAAAACAAGCCCGTTAACTTCATCTGTACAACTGGAGCTCTGAAGCTGTCTCGTGCAGTAGATGGAGTGAATTGGTAGCAAGCAGCTGAAAACAGCGCTGTCCCATTGAGTGTTTGCTAATTTCTGAAATAAAGGTTCATCTTATGAAATGGGGCAAATATCTTTACCCTTTACTTCTCTCCTTGTTTGTATTTGAAGCTCAGACCAATGAAACCTTTCTGTTGCAGTCTCTGGTTCGTGAGCATTTTGGGAAGCAAGTAACTGAGAATGAGGTGTTGGTATTTAAATATTTATAACTTTGTTTTTTCTTAAGCTCTCTCTCCAGGCTGCAGAAATTTAAACAGTAGTATTTTATTTGCCATTCTTGCTAATCTGTGCCTTTTCTCTGTAGAATGCGGAGAGGAGCAGCCCAGCGCTGTCGTCCTCGGAGCAGCTCAGTCACCCAAAACAGAGAGCCCTGATGGCAGAGGAGAGGACTCCCATCCACTGGAGGGAGGGCAGGGATCGGCCTCTCCTGCGCTGTCGCTGCCATCGGGCTCCACAAGCAGGTGAGTGAAGGGGTCTCTTCTCCATGCTCTGTTCCGGATCAGACCAAGCTCTGCCCGTGACCTTGAGTGCTGCACGTGTCCTGCGTCACGGGAGGTTGCTGGGCTGGGGCTGCCGCTTGTTCTCCTCCTGTTGCTGGCTGCTCGCTTGCTTGAGGGATGGAGCTCAGATACATTCAGCATTCCCTGGTGGTTTTGTGGTGACCTGATAGAGGGGCGATGGTGTAAGTGCTCCTTCTGATACAGAAATGATGAGTGTCTGTGAGACCAGGAGGGAGTTTGGTGTTTCTCTCCCACTGCATCATCTTCCCTCCTGTTTGAGGTTTTATTTAGGAAGGTCGAAAAGCTGATATAGCCCAAGTCTTTCCATAGTTCTTAAAGTTAGGTATTGCTGTAGGAAACAGAGTTTAAATGACTGTTGTGTGCAGTTGGTGGTAGAGCGCCACTGGACCCTGAAGTCCTGACACCCACTCACTTCTCTTTCTTCATGCATTTGCTTTTGTTTCCTGAAATTGCCTTACTTGGTTTCAAGGAAGGCTTTATAAATCATGTGAGATTTTATGCTTTTGATAGTTCAACGATAATTTTATTGGAAGGAGACTCAGCTGTTATTGCTTATAAGATCTATCTCATTTTTGAAGGTAGTGTTTGTCTCTGTTTAAGATATTTACTTCATGGATCATAGTTTGCTATCTACTATTGATCAGCTGTCAAAGATGATGACGATGAATACCTGGATAAATGTCCTATTGCAGTGCTGGCTGCTGTGGCTGAAAAAGTCATTGAGAACAAATACAGGATAACTGATTTTTGACATGTGTCTGAAAGCAAAATTGCTAATGTTGATAACAGGCTTGCTGTCTTGTTAATAGCAGAAATGAGAGGAGAAGGCACCCTTTGCAGGTCTGCGTTAGGAGTAAGGAAAAGGCTTCCTGTGTTTAGAAGTGGGAGGTAACCGGAGGAAGCAGCTGAAGGTCAACAGCAGAGCTAGGATAACATTCCTTAATTTCCCACCCATTGCACCCACAGTGTGTGCCTCTTCCTCCTTGTTCTGCAAATATCAAGAGTAATACAGTGCTTGTCTTCAGCATCAGTTATTAAAAGAACAGTTTAGTTGTTGAAAAGTTTAACAGAAACCGATTTCTCTAAATTAGTTTCGGTTCACAAAGAGTTTTTAAGTGTCAGTGTGGGGATTGACGGTGCTGCCTTTCAGAGGTAAACATTAAACGGTGAATGAAAGCCTCGGAAGACGTAGGAAAGATGAGATCAACTTGGGGATTAGAGAGCATCACCTGTTAAACATCTTGGTTTTAAATGATCAGGTTTTGCTGCCTGCTTCCATTTACTTTAAAAGGGAGCATATAGTAAATATTTGTCTGTAAACAGCAATATGCTGGCTGGGCAGATCACTTATGTGCAGGCAGAAAGGATCTTTGCTGCGGTTCCAAAATATCATTACATTTATTTTTGTTTGACTTCCAACTTGAGTTCTGTTCCAATAAAGACATTTCCCTCCCGGTGGCCATTCCCCTCTTTACTGTATGTGCCTTTCTGCCTGAACTGTTGCTGTAAAACGGATAAATGTGGCATATCATCGTGTTCGCTGTTTAATGTGTAACAAACCTGTTCAGGTTACTGATGCACTGGCTTTAGTGAAGTGTCTCGGGATATAATTTCCTCCCTTGTGCTGCAGGTAACTGTTATCTCTGTAATTTCTTCACTTTTCAAATAGAGTCCAGTGCCCCGGGCTCACGAAGAGACCTGCACGTTGTGACACCCGGTATCTGAGTGTCTTCTTTTCAGGTCTGTGGTCCTCAGAGCAGGATCCCCAGCTCTTGGTGAGACACACAGAGTCCAGGGATGGAGATGTCAGCTCCAGCCCTGGCAGTGCAGGGCCTCGGCTACTCGGGGATGGAGTCTCTGTGCTCTCTCTGGGCATTTGACCACCCCCACAATACAAAGGCTTTTTATTACGTTTTGAGGGAATTTCCTGTGTGTCAGTTTGCGCCCGTTGTCTCTTGTTCGGTCACCGCTGAGAACAGACATCGTCCTCGCTCCCTCCCGTCAGCCGTTGCTGCGCGCTGAGAGTCCCTTGAGCCTTCTCTCCTGGAGGCTGAACAGTCCCAGCACTCGGCCTCTCCTCTCACATCTTGAAAGAATGAAGAGTGAAGGAGAATCAGGGGCTTCACCATTGGCTTTGAGAGACGCGGCCTGCAGACCAGTGAGCTGTAGGGACTCGGCAGTGGACACCGCAGGTCAGAGTCCGAGTTCTGCCCTGGGCAGCGAGCAGGTGCTGGCTCAGTAGCGTTGCCTTGTGATGCACACCCAGAGCCCTCCTGATTTTAAGCACTGAAGCCCATTTAGAAACGGACCAAGAATTAAGCCCCGAACTGGAGGAGAAGCAGCATCCCCTGCAAGGCTCTTGCAGGCTTGCGCTGTTCTGGGTTGTAACCATCTCTCCTTGAAGCTGCTCCGCTCAGGATCTGCACTGAAAGATGAAATGGGCCAGGGAAAACGACTCTTTGGTGTTCAGTTAGAAGGGAAGAAACCTGTGCTTTGTTCCAGGGACTGGTTTTACATGCCCGAAGCCTCAGCGTCCCCATTTGCTGCTTGTGCTGTGTCTGCTGTGCCGCAGACAGGGAGCTCCAGGGACAGTGGCAGCAGGACCTGGCCTGTGGTGTGGGCAGGGGCCAGGCTGGGGCCCAGGCAGGAGCAGCTCTCCCCAGGGCTGCTGCAGGGCCCATCTCGCAGCTTTGGTCGAGGTGTCACCTCTGCCTGGTGCACAGGTGGTGGATGGAGCTGCTCCCGCTGTTGTTGTTGTCCTAGAGCTCTGGTTGTGATTTTAGTTCCACAGAAAAGATGCCTTCGGCTTGGCTTTTCATCTGGAGCTTAAACAAGGTGTTCCTGTTCTTCGCTATTTTACTTAATTTATTTTTTTTGGATTGCAAATTAACCTTCTGGCATTAAGGACCTTGGAAAATTTGGAATTTTAATCTTGCAGAGTGAGTTCTTGGGAGGTAGAAAGGGCTTGTCCTAGCTCATCCAAGATGTCATTAAATCTCTGTTTCACTGCCAATTTGGTGTGTGAATGATGTTATGAATGATTCTCCCCATGGCCGCTAACATCCAAGTTAAACTCGTATTCTTTGCCCTTTTCTGTCGTGTATCAGGTCAAGGCTGATGGCAGTGTCTGAGACTGTCGAGGTTTGCTGCGTGGCAGCTCCTGGTGATCTGAAGGGGCTTTGCTGAACCAAGCTGGTGATTCTGGTGGGAAGCATGCATTGGTTTGCTTTATGTCTGGCTCAAGCAGAGTTGTTTATTCTTCCTTTTTTTATGCATTTGCTCTCCTCAGATGAAGTATTTCCATAGGCTTCCTGAATCAGACACAGCATCTCTCAGTTGTACAGAGTGGTGGGTTCGCATCACAGATATTTGAACCTTCTTTTAAAAACAACCCCAACCATGCTCAGTAGCTCCCCATGGTTTACTCTTAAATTCAGTTTCTTTGGAGCAGAACTCCTGGAGTCTGCACAGAGCTGTGTTTTCAGAACCTCTCTGGGGTTTTCTCCTCACTTTCCTGCTTTGTGCATATCCCCTGGTTTGGACATGTGCTGTGGTTTTATTTGTTTTTCTTTAAGCGCAGGGCAGTTTGCTGAGCCATAAAAGCGAGCTACTGCGCTGGCCAAGAGGTTCAACAAAGGGGGTGTTTTTGTTTTGAGTTTATTTTGGTTTGGGGGTTTTTCTGTTGGCTCTTCACACTCCCGGCACGATGCTCACATGTCGCAGGTACCAGCAAAACAGACCTGAATTACAGCAAGGTTTTCAGGCACCGTGAAAGCCCGTGCAGTCGTACAGACGGCATGAAGTGTCCCTCTCCGGTCACTGCGGGGTTAATGTTTTGTTAGGCCTAGTGAAATAAATGTGGCATAAGTGAAAAACGAATTATTTGGGTTTTGAGGGTTTAAGTGGCATTGTGCTGCTGTTCCAAGTAAGGATTCTCTGAGGCTCGCGTTTTGTTTCTGATAATGAGAGGATATCCTTTGACGAGGGCAAATGTTTTCCACATTCAGATGTCAAATCTTGAAATATGTTTGGAAGCCCAAATCCGCGTGCTGTGCTTTTGTGACGAGAGCATTTCTAGTCGGAGGGCTGATGTTGTGACGGATTAAAAGGAATTCGGTATTTTGAGCAGCATGTAGAATAGAACAAAACAATGTTGAATTTAGAGAGTTTAAATGTTGGTTCTGTTAAAAGATGCTGCGAGTAAATTAACGATTCTTGTGTTTTCTCCTTCATGAGGCCTTCTGCCTTTTGCCGGTCTGGTGTCAGCGTTTGCTAAGGGGGCAGCTGGTTGATTTTAGGAGCTCATACATTGTTCAGTGATCGCTGCCGTACTGATACTATTCAAGAGTTGATAGTTTATTTGAGAAAACGAGAGGTTTACACCTGCTGGGGAAAAAAAATAGAGGTCACGCATGGGGTTGTAGCCTTGACCCAAACGTGTTTGGCCTTTTCATAAATTAAGGGCAAAATGTGTGTGACGGCTGATGACAAGGCAGAGGCACGGCTTTTGAAGGGTGTTTTTTCAGAGCTATGCAGTTGTCCATAAAGCTTTCACAGAACTTGAGTGCTCTGTGTAAATAGTCCCACTGCGTTCTTTCCCCGTCTGGGGCTGAAGCCAGATTTTATGCGGCTACTTAAACAACAGGAAAATTGGAAAAGAAACTGGGTGGGACAGTGATAGGGCAGTTAATGAACTGTGTAGAGGAGGTTCTCTGTTAAAAGTATGTATATAATGGGGATAACACTCAGTTTTTAAAACAGATTATTTCTCTTTAAAACTTGACGTTAGCAGAAAGCGCCTTTGATCCGTCGTTTGGCTCACTGAGACATTGAGGCGCGCGCTGAGACACAGCGGTGAGGCTTCGTTTTGAAGTCCTGGTGGCAAAGTGCTGTGTCTGCAGCTCGTGTAAATCTGCCGGTGGATACACGAAGCGGCTGCCAGGGGAGGTCGGTGCCCGAGTGAGGGGCCTCATCGGTGATAAGTGGGGCTTTCTGGCATGAAGGTGAGGAGCTATTGATCAGGAGATTTGGGTTTAGCTGGACACTTATTGTTAGATTTACATGCTTTGCAGAATTGGGGCTTTAGCTCATCAGCTGAAGAAGAGGTGGAAAGAGGGAGCTGTGTCTGTGAGTGGAGTTCACTGAGCACCTCCCAGCAGACGCCAGGTTGTCCAGAGACCATCGACGGGACTGGACGGCTGGAAAAGCTGCGTCAGCTCTTCCCTGGCAGCTGCGGTCTGGGTTTAAAGGAGGCGCTGTCCTGGTCCCTGGGCTGTCACATGAGAGAAGTGTATGAAAATGTGTTGTTTGGAGGAGTAGCTGCCTTTTCCAGTCCTTTAGTACGCTCTTGACTTCATAAACTTGTACTTCTTTGTCTCGGAGATTATGTATATTACAGGGCTAGGTAGGTTGTCTTTGTTTCTTGGCCTCAAACATGGGCTCACTGTGGAAGGATGAGGAATGAGTCTCTGCTATGTTGTGTATCTGCACCTTTCTTAGTAACATGGTCAGGAACAGCGAGGAATGGTGGGCAGAGCCCTGGAGAAGTGATGTCCGCAGCTGATGACCTCAGGTATGCGCAGGGGAAGGCGATGTTACGTGGCGTGTGTCCAGGAGGACACCAGTCCCCAGGCCAGAGCCGTGGGGTTTGGGCATCTCTGGGCCCTGAGAACAGGAGCGATGGTGCCTCAGTGCTCGCAATGCTTCAACCTGCATCGTGTCCCGGCTGCGCTGGACTCCTCAGGAAAGGATTTAAGAGGGATCCAGCAGAGCTTTTCCTGTTCTGGATGCAGAGCCTCACAGATGTGCGCTCGAGCTGCAGTGGAGGCCGCTGAAAGCCAAGAAAGCCTGGAAGGAGTCAAGAAAACCAGCGAAACAGGGGAACCTGTGTAAGTTTAGTGCAGATGAGCCCTCTGTGGAGACTCCTGGAAGGCCCAAGGCTGGCAAAGACAGGCAATGGAGCCGTGACTGGCGGTGCCAGGGGTGCTGGGAAGGCTTCAGTCTTACCCAGGGTGTGTACCCCCCGCGCAGGGAGCTCGCACCGTCTATCACAGCAGGTCCAAGCGGGAGCAGCATTGCCGGGTGGAGAAAACCATTTTGCATCACTCCTTGGGACTGGGCATTCACCTTCACGTGGCACTGGCAAAACAGGACAGGCTGTAGCTCACTTCTGGTGCCAGCAGTGGGGAAAAAACCCACATGGTGCACGTGCCAGAGCTCAGGGCATGGTGCACAGCGAGACGGAGCGGGTGAAGGACACTGGCTGCTCACCGTGGAGCCGAGAAGGAACTTAATCTGCCTTAAAATAAACAAATTCAAAGAGGCATTTGCTCCTTTCATTTTTAGAACGAGACACGTTATTCACACTTACATCAGCTTATTTCTTTCTATTTTAAGGTGGTGTGTTTATCTTAAAAACGAATTTTAAAATAGGTGGGGGGGGTGATGCGGTTGGTGGAAGCCGAATCCAAACGATGGTCAAGAAAGGAATGGTTTACCCTTGTTGGTTGGCAGTCAGCGCTCAGAAGAAACGGATCCTGCAGAGACGTTGGGGAATTGCCCGGGTCACTGGAGCTGCGCGTCTCGACCTGGAGATGGGGGTGCAGGAAACGTAACCCCCTCCCACTCCTCACCCTGCCTGGGGCATCACCTCCTGCCCCTGCAGGAGATACGGCTCAGGACTTCGGGGTTCTGCTACAGACTCGTCTGGAGTGCATGGGTAAAACCTTGGGGCAGAATAAGGACCTTTCTGGGAGAAAAGGATGGTCCGAAGATGGCTCTGGCTTGGTCCTGCCCCAGTGCAGGGAGCTGTCTGGGAGGAATGGAGAAGGCAGAAAATACTGAGGAAACAAACAGAACTGTTCTGAATTCTGTGGTCAGTGTAGGCCCCCTAAGCTGAAATTCATAGAAACAATGTAGGTAATGAGGTAGTAGTGTCTTTTTTTATTGAATTAATTTTCTGCAGTTTAAATGGATTCATTCAAGGATAAGAAGAGCTTAGGGGTTTTCTTCAGGGGAAAAAATACTTTAAGAATTCAGTTAGTGGTCAAAATTTCTTTTGCTTTGTTGAAAGTGGTTTTTTTTGCAATTGTTTTTCGGCTGCCTGGCGTATTTAAGGAGTTGTTTTAATTTGCAAGCAGGTTTTTCCGCCCCCACACATGGGAAAAAGGTGTATAAGGACTCAAACCCAAGCGATTGCTCAGACTTTGTGAAGGAAATTGCTATTTGGGAGAGACTGGAGGCACAGAACTGGCTCATTGGGTGTCTGGCTTGGAACAGTGGATGGTCTGGAGAAAGGCTGAAGCGAAGAAAGAAAGAATTCTGAAACAAAGAAAGAAAGGATTCTGAAACAAGGGGGTTTTTGGCTGCGGCGGGGAGGTCCCTGCCCACGGCGTGGTTTGTTCAGGTACACACATCAGTCCTCGCTCTCGGGGCTGTGGGTCACTGCAGGGCTCCCGTTGCTCTGGGGTCCATTGCTTCAGCACGAACGGGCAGAGGGGCAAAGTCGCGCTAGGACATTTTGTGCATCGGCTGTGGATGTAAATGAAGGACTTGCATTATTGTTCTGAGCGCTGGCCAAATTTTTTGACTTTTATTGTTGTGCTTGTGACGAGCACAGTTGGTGATAAACGCCAGCAATGCTGCGTTTCTCGAGACGGGGAAGTACATCGTGTCCAGGCATCAAACCTTCCCTTTTGCTATTTTAAGGGGCTGAGAGCCCTTGTCCTCCCCCCTCTTTTTTAAAATGTAATGGGAACATCAGGGTAGGATTTAGAACTGTGATAATAACTCATTCCTCGGGCATCCAGTTCGGGTACTGAAAATGAGTTTTTGACAGACTCATAATTCTGAGAGTAAAAAAAGAGAAAAGCTGGACTCGACTGTCCTGTCCATCGCTGTTTTCACGGCGTGTCTCACCATGTGTTTCACTTCTACGTTTCTTTAGGTTTGGTGCCGAGTTTCCAAAATTGCACGCAAAGCCTTTAGATCCATCTGGGTTCACAGGAATTTTCTCCATACGCAGTGCTTTCTGTGTATTTTTGGTATTTGCTTCCTTTTTATCTCTCTGCCTAAATGTGAGAACATGTATTTTTGGGCTGTTTTCCCTCGTATGTATTTGAACAAACACATAAACCCTCTGCTATCTGCGTGTAAAGTTATGACTTTGGGGATGTGTTTGTACGACTCGTGTCTGCTGCCCTCTAACAAACAGAGGATTGATTTTGCTGTCAAACCTTTAAAGTAAATCCAAGCACATCGGTATCCAACGGCTGCCCCATGGTTTACACTGAAATCTCCCAGCTGTTTGTGTAACGTCGTTTGTTGTGTGATTTCGGCAGTAACGCACAGACTGCTTGAGTTGCCAGGCGCTTTTTTGAAAGATAGTTTCCAGAAAACGCCGTTTTCCAACTCGCTAGTTGATTTCTGCGACCCTGCAGTTTGGGGTACACTTGAGACCTTTGCAGTAGTTTCTGTCACGGAGCCTGAACGTGCAGCAGAAGTCACTTGTCAGTGATTGACTGGAGTACTGCGTTCGCTCAATTCAGATTTTACTGACGTTTGACAAAGCTTTCTTGTTATTTAAAACCCAGACTGGAAACACCTGTGTAGGATTCTTTTAAACTTG